ACGAGCTGCTACACGTCTAATGTTCCAAAAATAAAAAATAAACTATATACAATAATTTTGTAATTTTAGTTTTTTTTTTTTAAATTTATAATTGAATGTTTTATGCACATCTTAACTAATTCTAAAATTCTCGGAAAAATTTCTTTAATTATAACTTATATTTGATATATTTTATGTGTACCAATTTTATTTATAAATCAATTTCCTTAATTTAACACTTTTGGGAGCAGTTCGGCCATGTTTGATTTGATTTTCTTAAACTATTTTTTGATTTTTTAAAAAATAAAAATTAATTTGACAAAACTAAATATTAAAAATATTTTTTTTTGAATTTGTAAAAGTTATTTATGCCTTCCAAGAAGATAAAATTATATAAAAATGATAAGTACTTTTTATTTATTTTTATTTTTTTCACGAAAATAATTTTGATTTATTTTATTTTTCTAAAATAAGTTTTTATAAACCAAACAAAAAATGTTCATGAATACTTTTCCAAATTTGAGTTATCTGAGAATTTCAGTTCAATGCATAAGATTACAATACTGTTAAACAATAATCTACAAATTGTTATATAAGTATCAGTTTTAAGATCTCCTTTAATTGTTTTGGGTTCAATATAAAAATTTGATAATATGCCTTCTTTGCAATTAGCAATAGATTGAATGGCCAAATAATTTTAAACTTTTTTTTTTTTTTATATATATATAGAGTTGTTCTCTAGTGATCATGACCATCGGCTTTGATGTTGAACCTGAGAAATATATATATATATATATATATATGTTTTTTAACTTGTAAATGTGACATGTTTTTATTAGCCACTTGCGATACTTGCACTCAATAGATCATACTTATTTTTATTCTTTGGATACTCATAAAATACTACATTCAAATACTTTTATGCCATTTGTTGCTTATTGCTATATTAACCTAAAACTCTTTTTGTTATACTAGTTGGATATGATCATTAAAAAAGAAAATTCAATAATGCTTAAATTAATAATGTCCAAGATAAAATTGTATTTTATTTTATTTTTTTTAGATAGTAAGCAGGTAAAATTGTAGTTCACCTAAAAATTATTTTAATTAAATGGTCTTTTAATGTGTTATAAAAGAAAGGGCGAATAGCAATTTAGTGTAAAATTAGAAAAAGAATTACACATAAATAGTAAACTTTATAAATAATAATTATAAATTATAAATTGTTTCATGTATTTATAATATATTTTTTTTTAAACCCTATTGGGCTGTAATTTCCCCCAAAAGGAACAACATGAATAGAACAATGGCGCTTATGCTAACCCATTATGTATTCAACAAGGTCTATGTTATTTTTATTTTATTTTTTTCTATCAGTCAATAAGAAATTATTTTCAAATAGTAAAAAATATATATATCAATATCATCTATAAGTTCACTTTTTTTATAACTTTTCCTATAACTTTTCAATGCGTGTCCTTATTACTAAAAAATCAGAACCGATTGGGAGCTCGAATTTGAGCTCCCCCGAATGCCCCGAATTCCTTTTTTTTTTTTTTTTTTTTCAGCAGAAGGAAGAAGAAGAGAAGAAGAGGGAGGAGGAGGAGGAAGAAGGAGGAGTGGACTGAAGGGGGCCATACCAGTGGGAGGAGGCGGAGGCGGGGCCGGAGGTGACGGCGGTGGTGCTGCGACGATCAGGGCTGGGCAGCGACGACCGGGGCTGGGCCAACGACAACGTGGGTAGACGACCGGCGAACCACCTCTCTTCTCTCTCTCTCTCTCTCTTCTCTTTCTCTCCCTCTCCCTCTCTGGTTCAGACCGAAAATGGAAGAAGAAGAAGAAAAAAAAAAAAAAAACTAATGCCCAAAACGACGTCGTTTTGGGCAATAGGGGCATTCGGGGCGGAGAAATTCGGGGCAAAAAACATTTCTCCTAAAAAATATTAAATCTTGAATCAAATAAAATATGACCCTTCCAATTAAACCATAATAATAACCACAATTGATTAATTTTTCACTTACATAATACATTGATATGGAAAAATTTATATAAAAAAAAAATTAAAAAAAGTCGAATTAAAAAGCACAAGAAAAGATATGATTTATGTCTTTTCATGGTTTGATTCCTCCAATATGTTACATACTTTACGCTAACCAAATTCCTTGTAGCATTATTAGTGGCATCTGTTACATACTTTACGCTAACCAAATTCCTTGTAGCATTATTAGTGGCATCAACTTTGCTGTTGGCATGAGTTATGAGTTGGGTGGCCATTATCATTGTCAAACAAATAATTGAGACTTTTTACTTAATGTGTTTTTTTTTTTAAATTTTTTGTGGCAATGTCACTTGTTTATAGGTGTCACCCGAAAGGCAAATTAAAATACCTAGATATAATGTATATATTTTCCAGTATATGATCAACTGAATTTAGCGGTTCATTGCCAATCATGTTGTATTAGTGTCGGCATGAAGAGGAAAAAAATAAAAATCAAGGGCGGCCGATACGATTATCAGCTCCATTTAAAAGTCCACTTGTTTATCAAAAGACAACAAATTTTATTAAATTAATGTAACGAAGACAAGCACTCATAATAATGTCAAATACTCATAATAAAAAATAAAAATAAAAAATAAAAAATTACGAGATGTGGATAAGACTGCATCATCTAACCTTAGAAAATGATATGTGACTGTGCCATCTAGCTTTAATTATAGGTTGAGATTATAATAGTTTAAGGGTGAGAAGATTAAAATGGAGCTTGTTGTTATGGTAAAACTCAATTTTTAAATAAGATTACCATTAACTAACATAAAAAAAGACATGACGTTAATGGAGAAGCATACATAAATCTAAGCAGTACAACATTGACAGTTTAAAGAAATAATTTTAATTTTTTTTTTCAACAAATCCGTGTGTTATTATTCATGCTACAGTCGGCTTCTTGCCAATGTCAAATATTGATTAGTTAGTATTAAGAATTCACTATAATATTAATTAATCATTATTCTGCATGTTAAATGATTTAAGTCTAAACAGTACAACACGATTGACATTTTAAAGAAATAATTTTTTTTTTCAACAAAACCGTGCGTTATTATTCATGCTACAGTCGGCTTGAAATCGACTGCCATGTCAATGCCAAATATTGATTGGTTAGAATTAAGAATTCACTATATATTAATTAAGTCATTATTCTGCATGTCAAATGATTTAAAGATAAACTACCAAATAGTTTTAATTCTCATCAAGTTCTACTAAAAATAAATTTTAATATAATTGTCACTAAAAATAATTTTGAAGATGATTTTTTACATGTCTCGCTAAAAATTGACAATTAGTGACTCTTATTTTGTGATGAATTTTTCAAATCATCACTGAAAACAAAAAATTAGTGACTTTTTTATGATATTTTTCCAAAATTGTCGCTAAAACTTATAATTAGTGACAATTTTTAAACTGTCATTGAAAATTAATAATTAGCGACGTTTTTTAATAGTGTTTGATGAAAAATGCCATTAATTATCATAGGACCTATTGGATAATAAGTTTATTTATTAAGATCTATACGTAAGTTCCCATTGATTTAAAATATTGTTAATTTATATATTATTTTTTTTACTTGTTTTCCTATATTATTTATGACCCTTGTTTTTTTTTTTTCATAAAATAATTTTGAAAAACAACCCTTGCAATCTTTTTGCCCAACAATGGATCCTTTATAAAAATATAATGTGGGCCTCGTTTGGGAACATATTTTTTTAGTAATTTTTTGATTTTTTAATTAAAATATGATGTAAAAAAAATTAGTATATTTGGGATGATTTTTTTGACTTTTTACGAAAAGATGTGCAAAAAAAAGAGAAAAAATAAAATCTTTGACTTTTTTGTATGGATTGTTGGCTTTTTGAATTTTTAAGCCTCGTTTGGGAACAGACTAATTTAGTAACTTTTTGACTATTTGGCTAAAATATGAACTAAAAAAAATTAGTATGTTTGGGATGATTTTTTGACTTTTTACGAAAAGATGTGCAAAAAGTAGAGAGAAAAGAGAATCTTTGACTTTTTGGTATGGATTGTTGGCTTTTTGGCTAAAAATGAGGTTCCCAAACGAGGCCTAACTTTTTGATTTTTTGACTAAACTGGTCGCTTCCCAAACGAGGCCTAAGTGTTTGGGACATTGCTATTTTAGTTTTTGACTATTTTAGTAGATTAAAATTTTTGTGTTTGGGAAGATAGTTAGATTTTTTTATAATTGGATGTGATATTAGTGAGAGAAAAAGTGAAATGATTATGAATTTGATGTGACATTTTATCTTATTAACTAATTTAATCTATTTTATCTTTTTCGTAAATTTTAGTCCAAAAAGCTCAAAAAGAGGCTTTGCCAAACACCCCAAATATATTGATAATTGTTTATTGAAGATAATTTTTCAATTTCTTTTTCGTTTTTTATATTTGTCTAGTCGAGTATAATACAAATACATATAAAAAAATTCAAATAGTTATAAAAAGGTCACAAAAAATAAAATAAATAAATAAATAAAATCACTAAAAAATTTATATCAGAGCAATATCTACAAATTTATAGAGAATTTGGTTGAGATTTGTCAAAATAGAATATGCACTATTAGAGCACCATTACTATAATTTGACAAATTACTATTATTCATTACTAAATTATAAGAATAACAATGATATTATAACAAATACCATTAAAAATGTACTTATATAGAGTTCATCTCAATAATTGGAAACATCAAAATTTTACCTTGGGCATATACGCACCTATCAACATTTGTACATTTTCTTCATTGATCTCTTGATTGCCAATTACGAAGTACAATGAAACGCAATACAAAGATGATTACTGACATTATTGATATATATCCACATTGCTACCACTTTGCAATTTGCAAACACAAAATGCCAAAAAAGAAAAAAGAAAAAAAAAAAGATAGAGTAAATAAGAAATAGAATTCAAGAAAAGAATCTATTCACAATCCCAAACAGCACTCAAATTTTTATTTTTATTTTTATTTTTCCAATTCTCTTTTAATTGATCAAATTTTCATGAATGTCCCCAGATTTATATGAAAATTTTATAATCGAGTCATGAACTCAGAAGCCATTAACGAACTCAAATCCTCCCATCCACTCTCTCCTCCAATTTCCAACTTAGGCTGAACCACCACCACCGGCTCCACTTTCGCCACCACCTTCTTCCTCCTCCTCTTCTGTGAAAAACCATTCTCTGTCGACGATGAGCTCGATGACGACGAAGATCGATCTGCCGATGACCTTTTTGCTGTAACCCGCACCGGCTCCGGCTCACCCGAATTAATCCGGAGCGGAAAATTCAGAAGAGCACGTGACCCGCGCATGCGATACGCCGCAATGTCATAGGCCACGGCCGCGTCCTCCGCCGTCTCATAGGTCCCTAGCCAAACCCTAGCCCCATTCTTCGCCGGATCCCTAATCTCCGCCGCGTACTTCCCCCACGGCCGCCTCCTCACTCCCCTGTACTGCTTCCCCTGTGGCGCAACAGATTCCGACAATTTACCCATTTCGGTAGCAGCTGCGGTGGTGGTCGCCACCGCCGGAGTTGGAACCCTGCCAATGTCCTCCGAATGGTTCTCCTTCAGAAGCAGCTTTCCGCAGTACTCTGCGGAGGAGTTTTTGCCGGAGTTCATCGCCGGAGCTTCAAACTCACCCAGCAAGTGACGACGTATCGATTCCAGCTGAGCGCAATCCGCATCGAAATCACCTTCTGTGTACATGACCGTATCAGAATCAAACACAACTAATAATATGTATAGAGAATAGAATTACAAATGTGATAGTGTGTATGTATAGAGTTTGAGTTGAGTGAGTGTGTAATAGGAAAGAGAGGATATATGGGGAAGAAGATGAGTGGGAAGTTTATATAGGGGTTGATGTGTTGGTTTTGAGAAAATTGGTTCGTGAACTTTGTTTACAGTTTTGGATTTTTATTCCCAATTGGGAATTCTTTTAACTGATCTTCTGGATTTAGCTGTACTTTTTTTTATCGTTTCTTGGAAAGTTCTTCTGCAACGTGAGAGAGGAATCAACTTTTGTTGGAGGGAAGGAGAGTTTTATGTCACGTGTGTAATTATTGGGGCTTGGATGGGGGACCAACTATCCTTCATGTTGTCACCTCGTCAATGTTCTTGCTCCTCGCTTCCAACTTGGGGTTTTTTTGTCTCTACTTCACAAAATGAATTGGATGGTTTTATTAGGTTTATGAAATTTATTACGAATTTTATTTTGATATTTTGAATCTACTCAATGTATAAAATTTGTTAAATATTTTGTTTTTGTAAAAAATTATATTGATTGGATATCGATAGCTACTTGATTAGATCAGATTTTTGTCAACAATTTATTTTAAAAATTATATTTACCATTGATAGAAATCTTACCTGATCAAATAGTTATCGATATTCGATCAACGTAATTTTTAAAAGAATAAAGTATTATACTAGTTCTATACATTGAATTGTTCGGATCATCGAAACAAAACCCGTGATAGGCCCTACAGACCCAACAACACGTTCCAGTTCGATCATGAGCTGGAGAGAAGGCTGGCCCCTTTTTTTTAACGGTGTGTTTGATTGGAAGATTTGGAAAGAAATTTAGTAAGAGAAATAAAAAAGATGTGTGAAATTAGATGAAATATAAATATATTTTATTCATATTTTACCTATCTTTTTTTTTTCTTTCCAAATCCTCCAACCAAATACAACGTAAGAGTATTTTCAATTATTTATTTTTTGAATTTATTAAATAATTTAGATTAAAAACATGATTTAATATAACTCCCTTGAATTAAAATTTTTAATTATTTTTTAAAATAAAAATACTAAACCTATGCTAATTATGGTGCCAAAAAATATCATACGAAATTCTTTATCTTTCAACGATTTCATCAAATTTAAGTAAAAAAAAAAAATTGTTTGAAATTTGATGGAAGATTTGATTCATTTTTTGTTTGATGAAAATTTGAGTTGATGGAAGTTTGATTAAAATATTAAATCTCATATTCACCAAAATTTTCATCAAATTTAGATTTGATGAACGATTTAGTTAAGGATTGGAGATACTCTAATTGTAGCATTTAACATTGTTAAGCCATGGGTGCCAAATCAAAAATATTATGCAAATAAAATGAACAATGTTGAAAATATATCTGATGCTAGTGTCAAATTCAGTTACATCAAAGTTTACGTTTAAAATAAATTTTAACCAATCAATAAACTTTTGTGATTTATTATGTATTTTTATTTTATATTTCTAATAGTATTGAAATAAAATAATTCATTAAAATTAAGGGCTTATATATATTACCACATACAAATTAAATTAGTGATCTTTACTTTTTATGTTTATCAATTTTTTTTTTTTTTTTTTTTTGAGTTTTGAATTTTTCAAAAAAAATTATTTTGAAAATTAAACACAATTTTCTTTTTTCTAAAATAATATTGATGACTTTTGTTGAAATTATAAATCAAAGCGATGAGGCAATTTTCGAACCCATCAGTAGCTAAAAGTGGTCGGCAAAAATGCTTTTTCTTGTAGTGACTATAATAGATAGGAAATTGTGGTTTGATAGCCGCGGTAGTAGGTTTTCGCCTTTGCTAATGGAGGAGTAATGGTGAGGTAGGGGATGGTCGTGGTCGAGAAAAGGCGATTGGTGATTTTATTTCTGTAAAGAAGGACGAAAAATGTAATATTACTCTATCCGTTAACTGAATCATTAATGTAATGGAAGTTGATGTAATTATAATAAAATTATAAAATTTATTATTATTATTTTTTTCTCTCTAAATAATAAGGAAAGTAATACTTTATTTGGATCGTGAGATGAGATGAGATGAGATGAGATGAGATGAGAAAAGAAATAATTGTGATTTTTCATAGAAAAGAAAAGAAATAATTTTAATTTTTCACAAAAAAGAAATGAAATGATTATGATTTCTCACCATTATGTTTGGATAAATAAAAGAGAAGAGAATGAGATTTCTCGCCTATCTTATTTGGATAGAATAAAAAGGGAAAAAAAAAGTGTTGTATTTTATTTTACTAAAATAACCTTTCATATTAATAAAAATATATTTTTTCATAAGGATAATTTTAATATTTTAATTTTTTTTATATTAAATCCAATTCTTTTCTCACTAAATCAAACCACTTTTGATAAAAAAAACAAAACATAGGTTTGATGAGAATCATTTTCTTACAATCTCTTACCATTTTTTATCTACTTAACCTGTAAGACTAAATTTAATTATTTAGTCATTATGGTAACCCACATAATATGGCAATATTAATTATAGATTTAATAAGATTATAATTTCATATCTTGAACCACAAATTATTATCTTATTGATCAATAGATGGAGTAGTTTCCAAATCTCCTACTTTGATGGCAAGTGCAATTATAGTTATATTAACGGTGCTAAACCCATAGGGCCGGGTTTGGGTCGTGACATGGAGTAGTTTCCAAATCTCCTACTTTGATGGCAAGTGCAATTATAGTTATATTAGAAAATTGGTCATCTCTCTCTATCTATAAAAGTATATTTAGATCACTCATTAATTATTCTGAATAAAACGTATTCTAAAGAGGGTCAAGAGAGAGAAACATTTTTCTGCCCTCCATTTGTTCGACAAAATGCCTCAGTGAACTCTGCTACTGAGAAGTCATAAGATGATTAAGGAGAAAGAGAGAGAGAGACAGAGGGACAAAGAGAGAGACAAAGAGGGCAGCAAGCTGTCAATGAAGAAGGGCAAACTAGCTAAGAGCAAATTAGCGAAGAGTAAATCAAAATGTAAATCTGTTAAGTGCAAATCAACCAAGGTCTCCTTGCAAGAGTTTGATAATCAGGTGGATGCTCATATATCTACCGATGAGATGCCTGTTGTACTCCCCCGCAGGTCTACACGCATTCGAGGAGCCCCCAAATTTCTCATATCTGGAGATTTTGTAGGACCATGGCAAGGGCCCTCGAATGAAAACAAAGGGGGTTTAAGGGATATGGAATCGGAGGATAGCTCAATTGAGTGTGATTGTGTCGATCTATATTTGTGTGGAAATCTTGGTACACCACGATTGCAATTAAATGCAGAAATGCAAGCATCAACTTAGCAATCATCAAAGCAGCATCAAACACCTAATGCATGGAACACACCAACTAGAGTGCTAACTGATCTTGAGCAGTGGCCAAAATTGGCCATTGTTTCCCCACTGGCGGCAAATGAAATGATAATGACAAATAAACTTGGCTCACCTAGTGTTGATCAAAGAAGAGAAGTAATTGGCACCAAGCAACATAAGAGTGTTGAAAATGTGCGAGCTTGCAGAAATGGGGATTTGGTTGAACTACATATGGAAGACACACAATCTGGCAAGGGTGAATGCCTTGATGGTGATACAGCTGCTATATCAGGTAAGCCTCTACAAGCTTGGAGCTCTTTACTTAAAGAAGAGATTAACAAGGGGTCAAAAATGAAGTATAAAATAGGAGCCCATAAGATTGAAAACCTAGTAGATGGCATGTACAATGTCCCTATAGAGATCTCAAAAAAAGGCTTTTCTCATTGGGAAAATGCCTTGGTTGGATACTTCATTGATAAAAGATTCTCTTTTCATTATGTGAAACCTTGGGCAGAGAAACTTTGGAGAAATTTGCTTGAAGATGTTGTCTCCATTGATAATGGGTTTTTTATTTTTAAAGTAAAAAGTGAAGAGGCTATAGACAAAATTTTGGAAGATGGCCCCTATTACGTTGGGGCTAGATTGATTGTTGTTAAAAAATGACAACCTGGACTAAAACTAACAAAGTGTGAATTTTCGAGTGTGCCGTTGTGGGTGAAGTTGTATAGTGTTCCTTTGGAGCTTTGGACTGAAGAAGGGTTTGGGTTACATTGCTAGTATCATGGGAACTCCTCTTTATTTGGATGAGCCTACGTTCAAGAGAAGCAGACTTATGTTTGCGAGAATATATATTGAAGTGCCAGCAAATAAAGAGATCCCTGAGTCTTTCAAAATAAATCTTGGTTATGGTGACCCATATGAGATTCAAGTTGAAGTTCCATGGAAGCCTTAAAGGTGTGATGTTTATAAGACTTTTGGTCATACCACTAATTTGTGCCCTCAAAAGCCAAAGACTTTGAACCCTCCGTCTTCCAAACAAGAGTGGAGAGTCAAGGAGACTAACATACAAGTTCCAACTGAGTGGAAGTGGTGAAGAAAAAAGGAAGAGATGATGGGCAAGGTTCAACGACAGTGATAAACAAAGAGGGAGAGATGCAGTGTTTCACTCCATCAACATCTAATACTTTTGATGTCCTTGAATCATGTGATATGGAAGAGTTGGGGAATGGAGAATTAAATCAAGAGTTGTTGTGTCAAACGAAGAGCCGAAAAAGTAGAGAGAGTCCATCTCCAAGTGATCCCATTAATGGGGAGACTCCAAAGGAGGATAACAGAAGAAAACTCAAAGCGAAACTTCATTACTTCAAGAGTGCTAGAGGGAAATTTTGAATCTTTTGTTGTGTATGTTGTGTTTGTCGTCTATAGGCTTAGTTTGTTTCTTTTGATGGAGTAGTTTGTTTTTGTTTATGTTTATTCTCCTTACAAAAGATGTGTATTGAACTTTATTGTATATCTTTCTTTTTGGTTATAATATGACTTGCTTATCCAAAAAAAAAAAAAAAAAAAAAAAAAACATTTTTCCACTAATATTGATATTAGGTTTATGTTCAGTCAATTATGGATCACTTGAATGTTTCGCATAATTGATCTGGATATATTATTTATTTTTTTACATTATGTTATTATTTGTGAAAATCATCATAATTCACGATTTTAAATTATGAAGGTTATTATATAAATAATACCATAAATTTTTTACATAACTATCCAAATAAATAAAAAAATTTCCTACTCTTATTATTTTTTTTTTTATTTTCTCACCAAACACTTCCATCCAAAAGAAGTTCAAGTATAATTACCCTTTACAAAAATAATGAAGAGGCATT